GTGGGTTGAGGGTCCGTGGGCATTAGTGAGTGTAACTTAATGACGCGTTGACGCAACTATCAGAGTAGGCAGAGTTAACAAGGGATCTTCTCCTCGCTTCCAACAACAGATTTCGGTGGGAGATGTAAAGGTGATGACTTGTGGTTGGAAGAACGTTGACGGTGGAGGTGACAGGAGATGAGGCGAGTTGACGCCGTGATCCCCCGTACAGCGGCTACTGCGAAGTATAAGTGACTTGTAAGCCAAAGCGCGAACAACACCTCTCGGCCTCATGTCCTTTCATCCACCAGTTCAGCTACGATATGTTGAGTTGGAGTCTTTGTCCCCTTGTTCCAGCAGTGATGACCTTCGATACAATGCCCAGGCTCAACCGCCGCAACAGAGGCCACTGCAGAACCAGTGTTTGGGCTATTCTATCTGCGCCCTTGATTGACCGCGCCTCTACTATTAGAAAAGTCACTTCAACGAGTCAAGATACTGAAGTCCAGCTCTATAGTAGACAGACTGCTCACAGGTCTCGGGACAAGCAATGCGACAACCTGCATCGAAATTGAAGAGACTTGGGTTGCTCCTTCCCGCAGAATTGTCCCTCGTTCTTGCCATCGTCCTTCCCGTCCGGAGTTGAGCATCTTTGATGTTGCCTTTCATCATGCCAGAGTCGTTGAGTCTTTGCCCATATCACGCTGTTTCTTTACCATTTGAAGCCCCAGATGCTTCCCCGTTGTTTCATGGCACCCAACTTTACACGACCACATTTCTTCTCTTTTTCATTCCATCGGTGTGACCTGCTTTTTACCTGCTATCGAGCATGTGTACCCTGAGGCGCCTCCTCTCGCCTTTTCTTTGCTGCTTTGGCATGCGCCCCTCTGAAGACCACGCGGCATCTGACCTCCACACCCTGCCTTCTACGCTTTCGGTGCAACTTCCTGCTTCTCAGATTCCGCACGCTGTAAGCCAGTCAGGCGCACACTCAGCAGACAGGGAAGCCCTCCGCGAACTTTTCCGGTCCTCATCTTCCGTCCGTGGCTATCGAACTGCCTCTCTTCCCTCAGGATCGAATCTATACAGAGAGCCGTCCTTGGACACTGACTTCAAGTTTGGGCCTCAAGATCAACATCGGAAACAGTCTAGCCGAATAGAGCAATTGGGCAATCACATTAAGCAGAAGCTATCGGAGTCGAGATTGAGCAAGAGCAGCTCTAGACCTCAAATGATATCTGAGCTTACTCCTCACGATACGACAAGACGTGACAATGCACAATTGGGAATGAATGCCCCTGAAGGAACACTGAGCCAGCGATCTACGGGTCTCCTCGAACTTCTTATGTCACGGACTGCAAGTGAGGGTGGTTATGATAGCGATGCGAAAAGCATCCAGACAGCTGCGCTGAAGGCGAGCGATGGCACGATCAAGTTAAGTCCATCGAGGGTGCTGAGCCTGTCTTCACCCGATAGCATTCAGCTCGTTACCACCGACTGTACTCCGCCGTCTCCTGCAAGTATTCGTACACTGATGGACACCCATATCCGATCCGAGAACTCAAAGGCATCATCCACCTCGTCTACATCATCGAATGCCTCCTTTATCAATGTCGTCCAAGGTCAAAGAGACGAATCACCTTTGGGATCCTCGAAGCAACCCGGCAAACTGGCAGCCGATGTTACAATCGAGCTTACACACGGAACTAAATCCAAAACGATGCCTCCTTCGACCGACCCTGACACTCGAGGGCATGATCTCCTCACTCCTTCTTCGTTGAAAGACTGCAGCGAATCTGTAGCTATGCTCAAAGCACTGGAGGGCACCGATTCTGCGGCCAAAAGAGAAAGTCAGATCTCCAATGCAACGGGTCCACGGGCGAGTTTAATGTCGGAGTTAGATCCAAGCCTGCTAGGTTTCATTTCGAAGTATGGTGAGCGCTCGTCAGTCGAGATTTTGGAAAGAATGTCCGGTGACAATGCCGTCGCATTCGTTCGCAAATCGAATTCGTTGGCAATGGCTGACATGGATCCATTCGACGTCTCAAAGCCAGGGAGAGAGGGTATATCGAGAAAAGATCTCTCTTCTCTTGCCGATTCTGACCGAAGCTCGGTCCATTTGTACAATATGCGAATTTCTCAACGCCTCGCAAGTCCGTCCTTTATTACTTCTGGCAGACCGAATACTAGCCACACAACAACTGCTCGAACACCTAGAGGAAACTCTCTAGACTTCCGACCCTCCACCAGCCAGACATCCGTGGCTGGGAGAGTCGGAAGTCTTATCACAGTTGAGCACAATAGAAGACCGTCGGATCCAGAAACTAAACGACTCTTCGAAGGCGACTTGGTCAGACGACGCACATGCTTCAGCCGGGGGCCTGGCGCTTCACCAATCCACGCCAATACATTTGGAAAGTCCAAATCCCTGACTGGTACCGAGGATGCCTCATCATTCTACTGGAGTGATAGTGAGTTCGAAGATGTTGGACCACCTAGGCGAAGTACGCGCAAAGGAAATCCCAATAGCATAGCCATTGGCGGGAGGTCAGAGTCCATCAGCTTGCCTATATGGTCTTCTAGTGCCAGCATCGGCAACCTTTCAGTTGCAGAAGAAAGTGCTTGGTTTAGCAGAAAGCGTTCAGAGAACCATCAAGCGATTGAAGAAGAAGGACGGAGTGTTAGGTTCACCAAGAGGAACAGAAGTGTCAGCATGCCAGACCGGAGCAACCTTGATTACTACCTACCTCGTGGTGTGAATTCCCAGCAAGTTCAGCATTCGACGGAAGCCAATGAAGCCATGAGCGAAATCAACACCGATCTTATACTAGAGGCTAGGAATGAAAAATTGACAGAAATCAACGTCCAAGCGATTCGCGACGCACACAATGAAAGAATGAGTGAAATCGAGCCGGCCACTAACGGAGATACCACTGCTGCCCGGCAAGGTCCGTGCAACCAGAAGTCACTTGCCACCTCTCATCCACGAAGGGCACTGCCCTTTTCGAGAATGTCTGTTACTGCACGGCCTTCAAGGTCAGAAGATGGCGATGCAGCAAGATCAATCTACGATGGCCCCAACAAGTTGCACGAGTCTGCTACCGATATGTGGCAGAGGTCCTTCAAACGGGCTATGGAAGAGCCTGAACGTGATACAATGAGTGGTTTTCTCACATCGCCAAAATTTGATCGTGACGGTAGGAGGAGAAGTACGAGGTCGAGTGTCAGTGCAGCTCAGCTGTCCCATCAAAGCCAACAGACCCCGGAGGAAGAAGCCGATTCGAACACCTTGCGAGAGATCAAAGTCCGCAATGGATCATCCAGTGTTGAAAAGCAACGTCGTCTCCAGATCTGCGTAAAGAAACCTGATCCACTCCCATGTGTGAACCCAAGACGCAGCATCACCAACGTTGATGTTGGGAGGGAGACACCTGTCAATCTTCCAGCTAAGAAGACTTCTAGGAAAAAGAGTATCCTAGATATCGGAAGACGATTCACTGTCGTTGGAGCCTCCAGCGAAAGTGACGGGGCTTCAGGGGCGAGTACACCGCTGAAGGATATTTTTGGTCTATGGGGACGTTTTCCCAGCCACACGAGACAGGAGAGGTGCGCCTCAGCAGGGCACAAGGACGGTGTCGCAACGCGAGACTTTGCTCTCGACTATCAGGACGAAAACACCTCATCCACAACCCCTCGGACGCCGTGGGCTAGGCCTACACCGACGCGAGCATTACATACTCCTGGATCTTGGAGAATGCTGCAGTTTAGTAAGCAAGACGGTGAAGAGAAAGCCAGAACCAAGCGTATACGGGGCACACAGTCTCTGGGTATACGGCATAGCAAGAGCCGAAAAGGACTCGCTGGACGATGGAAAAGACTCTACCGCAGCAGCAGCACCGAATTCAGAGCGTACGCGCACACTCACGGGCATCGGAGCAGCATCAGCGTGGGTGCCAGTGTCGGATATCCGGAGCTTGAAGTGATTGCTGGTGATGAACGTCGGTTTGATGGCTGTGGGGCTTTTGACTGGCGACCAGATATGGATGGATCTGCAGAAACCAGCCACCTACAGGAGCTACAGGTGGTAAATCGTATGCCAGATCGCCCTCCAGAGCCATTGGACACCCAACCTTGGACTCGCATGTATCAGGACTGTGTTGGGAGCCTGTCGGCCTTGAAGAGCGATCCCAACATGAAATTGGGCGGCCTTGCCGAGGTCTCCACTGGATTGTACGACCGGCACGTCACCAGCGACAGTGTGCAGAGCGCAGGGCTGAGGGACAGTACTGTTGATTTCGAACATCAACTCGGGCAGGAGCATGAGACAGTCAAAAGAAAGCTTATCGGCAAGATTGAGAGTATGGACCAGAGTGAGGAGCGATTCGATGTCCACGCAAGGCCCACGGCCGAGGGATAGTTGTGCACTGGCAGGCTGTGCTTTGTGGCCGAAATAATCAGTATTTGATAGTTGACTATGGGTTAGTTGTGGGCAAGTACAGACAGAGGAAGTAGAGATACAAACGGAATAGGCAGGGTTCGAAGCACTTTTGGTTCATTTCCCTATCTTTGACTATGGGGATGACAATGACACTTTCTGTCTGGTATCATGGTGTTTCTGTTACTGTGTAGCACGCGCATGTGCACCTGAGTGCAAAAAAGGGAAAAAAAGCTCTTTCAATATCCATCCGATGGCGATCCACGCAATGAGATATCCTGAATGTTGTGATTGTGGTTGTTGGGGTGGCAGGTGACGACGCATTTCGACCTTGTCCTTTTGACCCTGGAATTTCCCAGTGATTGAACATTCCTTTGCGTCCATTTTTCACTGCATTGCACTGCATAACATCACTTCGTAGGTATCGTATGGCATCGTAGCGTATGGCGTGAATGACCATTTGAAAAGCCAGGTGATTTGATGTGATGTGATGTGAAAGTAAGGTGAAGTGAATTGGAGCGGAGTAATGTCAGGGATATGTATGTAAGTGGGGATCAACGGCTGTCAACGCTGTCCTCACTCACACTCACAAGACGAACCAGGCGGTGACGGCCACGAGGAGCAAGGCAGTCACGGTGTGCACGGTCAGACGGGTCAGAGAGCACGAGGCCATCGAAGACGAGGTCGTGATGTTTCCACTGCTGCTGGCGGTGGCAAAGGCGAAGCCGCTGGAGTGGCTGGAATGGTGGGTGCTCAGGAAGCTCGTCACGGTGGGGTGCACGGTCGTGCTGCTGTTGACGGTCATGGTGGTGGGGTTGGGCAGGATCATGCTGTCGTTGCCGGTGGTGGTGTTGGGGAACGGCGTCATCGTGGTGCTGTGCACGGCAGTGGCAGACACAGATGCAGAGGCGGGGGCGGAGGCGGACGCATTCACTGGGATCGCAGTGCTGCTACCGTTGCCGTGGCCGTTGATCAAGGATACAGTCAAGGTCGTGTTCCCAACAATGGACGCGGGGGTGATGGTCACGCCGACACCGACACCAGTGGCACTACCGCTAGCAGTCAAAGATGGAGACTCGGTGGCGCCAGGAATTGTGCTCGCCAAAACAGCAGGAGGTGGAATTGTGGTGACAGTGCTTGCCAGAGACGAGTTGGCTGGAGCTGGATGAGCACCAGGGACTTGGGTCGTCGTGGTGGCTGTGATGGTCGAAGTTCTCAACACGGTACTGGTCAACCACACGGTAGAGTTTGCACTGTCCAAGCTGTTGGTCGTCATGTTCAAGTTTGTGGTGCAGTTGCACGGCATGGTCGAGACGGACACAGAGACTGACACCGAGACGCCAGGAGTGGTGGTCATGCTGGGTGGGGATGGGGCAGTGACTGGGTCAGGCGGAAGTGCAGACAAGGCTCTGACGAGGGTGGTCTTGGGCTTGACGAGGTCGAGGACCATCAAGAAGCGGGTGATCAGACCAAAGACACCGGGAATGCGCACGGAAGATGCTGCGCCAGTCATAGTTGGAGTATAGATCGAGACTGAGACTGATGACGATGCTTGAGACTCTGAGACGGATGCAGACACCATGGGAAGCGACACAGATACATTGCTGCTTGCGATGGGTGAGGCAGTGATGTTGAAGCTCTCACTTGTCATGATAACACTCAACAAGGGCACGCCGACAGATACGGTCGAAGGGAGGAATGTGATGGCTGATTCCTTGCTCGGAACAGTGTCGCTAGTGTTGAACCGATCAATTGTAGTCACAGTATCTTCATAGACAGAGGTCGTAGTGGTGTTGACATACACTGGAACGGTCACTGTGTAGGTCGTACCAGCGGCATAGGATGAAGACTTGGTTGCAGCAACGGTGGTGTAGACAGTGGTGGTAGTAGTGCTTGCGCCAACAGTCTCGCTTACGCTTGCGATCTCTGATGTAGCCTCACTGAGGAGGGAAGACACAGCACTGAGAATTGTGCCAATAGGTGTGGCAGTAGTTGTAGTAATGACAGTCTTTGTTCCAATCTCTGAAGAAGCATTGCTGAGCAACGACGATGCTTTGCTCAAGGCTGAGTCGACTGGCTCGACAGTCGAGGTGGTAGTCATGGTAGAGAACATCATCAAGGTAGCAGTCCCGAGTGTGGAATTGACAGCGCCGACAGTGGCAGAACTCTTTGACAGTGTGACAGTGGTTGTGGTCGTACTTGTGCTAGTGCCAATGCCGCTGACAGGATGGTTTCCAGTGATGCTGTCAAAGGCAGATGATGCGACACTCAACGCAGACGACAAGTCTGGAGTGGCAAAGGGGAAGCTAGTCTCAAAAGTCCCATTGACAAAGAATGGCTTCGAAGTGTTCACAACAGTGACGGTGGTGACCAGAGCAACCGACGTGATGGTATCAAGGTATGCGGTGCTGATGACGGTAGTGAGGGAAGTCAAGTTGTGAACCGAAGTTCCAGTGACTGAGATGAAGCTGCCATTACCGCAGGTTGCATTTGGGAGACCAGAGGCACAAGGAGGACTGGCAGTGACAATGGGGAATGTCAGAGTAAGAGAGCCAGGCACCGATGCTATATACTCATTAGTATGCGACAGGAAGTAAAAGGAAGGAAATGAGGCAGCGGCAGTGACGCGACTTTTTGAATCACTTACCACGTGTGAGATTGCTGCTTGCGCCACTGGAAGTAGCAGGTCCGGCAGCAGAGACAGTGGTGTTGACTATTGCTTTTGTGAGTTTCCTAATCTTGACGCGACTCAAGCTGTCCTTCTACTCACCATAAGAAGTGATCTTGGTGGTGCTTGTCAAGGTGATGGCAGAACCGGAGTGAACAGAGTTGATGACTGCGCGACGTGTTAGCCAAGTGCTGTCAAGAGGAAGGGGAGTAGTGATGGTCAGTGGTAACGTACCTGAAGGGCCCAGGGAGCTGCTCTCGTTGCCGACAGTGACTGTATCTGTGACTGTGTCTGTAGTTGCAGTGATTCCGGGGTAGGTGGTGCCAGAGACGTGAGTGAAATTGAAGGCGTCGATGGACTCAGTCATAGTAACAGTCACGGGCCCAGACATCAAGGAGATGGTCTCGGTGACGGTTTCGATGACTGAAATAGTTGTGGTCATGTTCCCACAAGACTGAGCATCAACCAGGGTGAGGAAGACGGCAAAGGCGTAAGACGCGATGAAGACTATGGCGTCCCAGGTGGTAGTGGTTGCCATGATGGGCGAAAGAGGGGATGATTGAACGAACGTGGATGGAGATAGAGCGAGTGTTTGATGATGAATGGCTTGAAAGATGGGCGATTCGAGAGAGATGGTTTGAGGATGGAATTGAAACACCGCAGGCTGAGGCAGAAGATGAGTTTTGTATACAAATTCACGGCCTCGCCTTGGCACGAAAACGAATTAGCATTCGGACGACCTGCTTTTCCTGGCTGAGTGATGAGAATTCACGTCTTGAAGGGAAGATGGAGAGTCTTCCTGTCCTTCTCCTGTCAAGGGACAAGGAATTCAGCCATTCTGTGCTTCCTGTCTTGGTCAAACCGTGCCATTGAGACCCAGAAAATGCACATATGCCACCCCTATATCCTCACAGCCTCGTCGTTCAACATGACAAGGGACAGTCCCAGCACACCATCCTCCAATGCCAGGAGATGATTAAAGCCTCGTGAAGAGCTTGCCTTAACTGAGCAGAGTGCGTCAATTCATCATGTGAGCAAAGGCCGACGAACAAGGGGTCGGATATCGGGACTCAGTCATGGATGTTTCTGGCTGTCGTATACAACCTTGATATGGCCAGCCTGCAAGAGAATATGTCAGAATCCACACCATGTACTCACCATTGGTCCTGGGGACTTTCCTCCCGCCGGGGAGGTAACAAGATGACATTGGCACACTCAGCTCCTGCTCAAACAGGTGGGCAGGCCACTGCATGGAGACATCTTTACGACACGAGCAAGGCACCTTCTCTTGACTGCCCATCCATGCTCACAATGTCTGGCCCCTTTGCTATCGCATGTGCAACAGGCAAGTGTGGCTGCCCCTTGTTGCAGCTATGCTCAATGTTCTGGGTTGAGACAACTAGACTAATGGCAAGTTCATTCTTTGACCACCAAATCTGACGAGGTGCTCATCAAGCTCTAGACAGGACCACCACAAGATCTTTGCCCGGGCTGAACTGAGTGAATGGGAATCAGGAACAAGGGTTGAGGACAAATGAATGGTGCACGTCAATCAATAAACAAGGCGGTGCCAAGAAACCAAGGTTCTCCGTCTGCGCCACTTTTCCCTCTTGGGCGCCGGCAACAAGGACGACGCCATCGCGCTCATCCCCCATCCTGGAACATTCGATGACAACCTGAAAGAGACAGTGGGGTGAGGATCCTATCGTCTCTTGCACAAGAAGAATCCTGTGGATGCGGTGTTTCGATCTATGGTAGGAAACACAAAGGATGAATGATTGATTGAGCCAACAGCAGCACATCACAAAGCACTGCAATTCTTGGTCAGAACGACGGCGGATTTAGATGCAAAATGTCCTCTCACGATCACTACCACGATCATGACCACGGCCACAACCATAGCCATGGCGCCGGTCACGAACACGACCACTCTCACGACCTCGAGCCAGCCCTTCAATCGAACCTCTACAAACAGATCAACTTTGAAGGCATCGTTACCCTCAACGAGGCTGAACCGCGTTCAGGGGCGGCGATAGTCCAAAAGACGTGGGATGAACGCCTCAATGAGCAGCCCATTCTCGAAAGCGATGCAGACGAACAGCTGCTGATGCATGTGCCGTTTGCTGGGTCGTGCAAGCTCTATTCCATCATCATCCGGACGTCAGACACAGACTCGGCCCCACAGACACTCAAGCTCTTCCGGAACAGAGACGACATGGACTTCACCCTGGCCTCCGACCTGAAACCTACGCAGAAATTGACTCTCCCCAAAAGCAACGACGTGGCCGAGATTCCGTTGAACCGGGCTCTATGGAATGGCACAACCTCGATCAACCTCTTCTTCGAGGACAACCATTCAGGCGGGGACGAGGATGTCACTCGCATCAGCTATCTCGGGTTCAAGGGAGATTTCATGGCGCTCAACCGCGAGCCAATCCACGTGCTGTACGAGGCGGCGGCAAACCCGCAAGATCATAAGTTGATCCAGGGTCTGGTCAACACCAACCAGTCTATGCCGGGCCAGTGAGAGCATTCGGGGGAGAAACTTCGGAGGGAGGGAGTTTTAGACAGAATTGTTGTATGATGTCAGACGCTATAACGCATGAACAAAAGCTGTACTATATCGTGATCACAATCATCAAAAAGTTGTCTTTGGGAAAACGATATCAAGCCTCCAAGGCCACTCTTCTTTGCCGAGCCCTTTCCTTTCGTTTTTGTATCCTCTCCTGTTCCCGCTCCAGCTCCGTCTTGGGCACTTCCGGGAGAGAGTCCTCGCCCAGGATGGTCTTGTTGGGCGCGTCGGGGAGGCCGACGACCTCGCGCTCCATGGCCTCCAGTTCGTCCTCGACCTCGTCCTCGTCCTCGTTGGACATCTGGCCGGCTAGCGCCTCGCTGATCTCCTGCTGGTAGCGGCGGGCCTCCTCGGTCTCGCCCATCATCTTCTCCACGCCCTCCAGGCCGCCCATCTCCTTGTGGATCATGTTCAGCACCTGCGTGCCCTGCTGCAGCCCGAACAGCACGTCCTTTTGCACCAGCGCGAACTCGACGCTGCTGGTCAGCTTCTCCAGCTGCTCCAGCTGCGCGTCCGTCTTGGAGAGTAGCGACTCTTGGTATTTCTTCCGCCGCAGCGCCAGCAGCGCCTTGGCCTTGTCGCCCTTGGCCAGGCACTCCTTTGCGATCTCGGTCTCGCGCGTCGTGATGACAGTGATGCGTTTCTGGTACTGCCGCAGTTTGTCCCGCTGGTTCTTCATGTCCAGAATTGCCCTGTACAGCCGGAGAAGGTATAGCAGGTTAGAATATTGAGATATATTCAAAAAGATGCGCACAGACGGAGGGGAGGGAGAGGGCTCAAAATCACTGTACCTGTCATGCGCCGAGATTTTGTGCGCGCTTTGAGAGTTTCCCATGGTTCCCGCATGGCCGCCCGCGCTGCGGCGGTTCGTCTGACTGACAAGATTCGAGGTGCTTGTGAGATATCGGAGGGGGACTCGGTATATCTGTGTCGAGGTCAATCTGGAGACAGGAATCGTGCTCGCAACTTGTCGCGGGAGCGGAACTACGTAATTCCCAGGCGATTACCTTTTAGGGTTAGCCTCGATATCACTACTCTGCTACTTCAGATGCACCTCCAAATTCATTCTTCTATTGACCTACATATTACTTCTATCTATCTTCAACATAGCCCAATCCCTCATTGGGAACAGAGATGACACAGAATCTCTCTGCGGTATTGGATTGCCGAGGACTTTGGAGAGAATCTTCCACCAACCACACCACAAGCACCGTTCGGAATACCCAAGATCGTTTGGATTCACAGGCACCAGGTCAAATCAATGTCTTCCATGCCCCGATTTGGAGCTCCTCGCAAAGTATCTAGGTCGCGATTTGACCCAGAATCTTAATGGTGCAACAGGAATGAGCCCAGACAGACCATTCGCCAGAGTAACCAGCCTACGTAGAGCAGAGTACCCATTCGAACGGAGTCAGATCTACAGAAAGTATTGTTAAAGCGATATCAATCACGTAAGGTAATTGAGTATGTCCTTCGTATACAGATGGTTCGTTCCTCGTCCTATTTGTGGCAACCCTATTCCAATCGGGCCTGGCAAAGTCTCCCACGAACATCCCTCGCCACATGGATGGCTGTACACATGACACTTTGTCTCTCCGTGCCTTGACATCAAGTCACATCCTGTATCTTCTCCTGGGCTGACCAACGAGGCATAGGACTTCAGCGGTAGCATGATGGAACCTGCTCTATGATGTTTGCAAATATACAATATCTACGCTAAGATCTCGAGGATCGGATTCCATTGCCGACAACGGGTCGTCTGTACGTCTGATGAAAACGTCAATATGACACCAGCACCAATAAGGTCTACGCCAACATCAGAATTACAGCCACGTACACGACCACAAGGGAGCATGGGTAACCATACCGTATCCACCGCCACGATAGTTCGCGACGACCCCGAGAAGAACCCCAATTCGCTGCACGACTTCCACACGGCCAAACGAGGGCCCAAGAACGTCCCGGCAGTCGTGATCATGTCGCGGACGCCCGAACCCAGTACAGAGGGCGGTGGTGACCGCAGTGACGCGGCTAAGAAAGGGAGCTCGCCGCCCAAGGATCCCGGCCACGCCTACGCCCACACCCAACACATCCGGTTCGAATACTTTGACCAGCGCATCTCGAATGCCCCCTTTGGGTACGAGCACTTCGTCTCGCTGCCGCCGACGTATGATTCGGACCTTACCAGGAACAAGACGTGGCCGCTGATTCTCTTCCTGCACGGCGCAGGGGAGTCGCAGCGCAGGCCGCACGAGTCGTTTGCCTCGATCCGCCACGGCGTGCCAAAGATCATCCTCTGCTACGACAAGCTAAAGTCCGATCCGACAGACCGTGAAGACCCTGCAATCGACATCCCCCCGGCGCCACGGCTGCGGAAAAGCAAGCAGACACAACAGCATCAGGGTGATGGGTCCACGGAACCCGTCCCCCGAGAGACGTGTGAGCTGTTAGCCGAGAACTTTGTCACGGTGACGCCGTCGCTGAACATGCAGAACGGATACGGCTGGAACGCGGCCATCCTGTCAGCCCTGCTCGACGAGATTGTGAATCGCTACCGCATCGACCTGGACAGGATTCACGTCACGGGCTTCAGCATGGGCGGCTACGGCACCTGGGATCTGGCCATGCATTCGCCGCGGCGGTTCGCGACGCTGGCCCCGATCTGCGGCGGCGGCGATCCCTCGCGGGTCACCCACGTCAAGCATCTGCCGCACTGGTGAGTAGTCCTGCGTTCCTCCCGTTGTCGTCGTCATCGTCGACAGACGAGAGTCAAATCTGGGGGATTTTGCTGATCTCCGGGGGTGGCAGGATCTTCCACGGCGATCGCGACGACGTCATCCCCGTACAGGCGTCGATCCAGATGGCCAATGCGCTGAAGAGGGCCGATGCCACGCAAGTCACCTTCACGCGGTACCCGGGTCTCATGCACGATTCATGGACCCGCACGTACAACAATCCGGATCTGTACCGGTGGATGTTAAGTCAGAGGAGAAAAGTCAGGGGCGACGAGGAAGGTGTTTCGGCCGAAAATAAAGTCGTCCTAGACACAGACCTGGACTTAGACTTGGATCTAGAACGAGGCACAAACAAGATCAAGATCAAGAATAAAATTCAAGGTAGTTAATTCGTGACAGCCTGATAGGAACTCAATTTTTGGTATTTCAAGAACTTATTCTTTTCTCCTCTAAACACTACCTCGACTAATCAATCTCTCTGAACACAAAGTCGACCTCGACGTCGACGTCAACCTCATGATCAGTTCTCTGCCTTTGCTACCCTCCCTTTCCCCCAGTATCTCAATCTTACCCATCATCCCCCTCAACGGCCAAAAATCGACATCCGAACGAAAACGATCCTTCCCCTTTGTGTGCAGAGTACAAGTTGGCACTTTCGTCAGTAACAATGCCTTGGTGATCTGTAGATGTTGTTGACGACGACTCGATTGTTGGCGAGGGCACGGGCAAAGGAAGCGGGGTTGTTACGGGTGAAGTTGTTGTTGGTGTTGCTGATGATGCCTCGTCGGTATCTACTGTAGTTGTCGTCGTCGGACCTGGAGATATTGCCCAAGTAAAGGTTCTCAAATCAGCTCTGACGTGCCACGACTTTGTCTCCTCTTTCTTCCCTCCACTACCCTCCAGAGGGTTAGATGGTTTCTTACCAATATTCGGAGTCGTCATCATAGTCCCAGGGTGCGGGTCGTGGGTATCGACGACGGCTGCGGCGTTGGTATGGGGGAACGTGGAATGTCGCGCCGACGCCATGCCCCAGGTAGATGGCCTCGCCGTGACGTCTGCGTCCATCACGCCCGCGTGTCCGAGTGAAGAGGATTGGCTCGTGCCAGCCGTCAGGGTGGTAGCGCCAGATCTCCATCGGGAAGGGGTTTTGCGTTAGGGGATTGTGAGGACTGGGCCTTATTTGCTCGCTTGTCGTTGTTGCGGACCGTGAGGTATGTTTGCTCCTTCCTGACACGAGAAGGGAAGATGGCACTCTCAGAGGTATCCGTCTCCCTTGGGATTGCTGCGTTGATACCTTTTCGTTTTATAAATACCTGAGGAGGTTGCAAGGGGGAGAAGTCAATGAGGCAGGAATAGCAAAAAGGCATCCGCGGTATCAAAGGTCGAGAACAATCAAAGGCGCCCTTTTCGTTGGGCAACCCAGAAAACCCATGTTAGAAGGGGGCGGCTGGAGGTTGTGATAGACAAATTGGTTGCACAGATGGAAGGAAAGGTGCCTCTCGTCAACGCATTTCCACCCAGAAGAAGAGAATTACCTTGTCGTACGGGGGTTAGCATTACCGTTTCTGGTCCGTGTTTGTTCTTCGTTCGTGTCACATTTGGAACTCAGCCTAGGTCACCGCGGGCAAAAGCCTGGCTCAATGGTGAGCAGGTCCCTCTGCTCGTGATTGCAATACCAAGGACCAGGCTGTTCAAGTGTGGAAATGGACAACGATCTGGCTGTGCTGGAGTTTGTGTGACTTTAGGGGGAGAGAGATCGCAAGTCATGTCATTTTTCCACCTAGGCAGAACTGTTGATGCTTGTCTTTTGTTCCGTCCTCCTGGTCATCCACACTCATCTTCGGCGATAGTCAGCCAGTGTCCCGCCTAAGAAGCACAAGGCTTGCGGTGGATGTGAGGATGTGGTGTACGAGTTGGCGATGATGGCGCTCAGCGAATACAGGCATTGGATGACGACGTCACTTTTTGTTCCACCCTTGGCAATTCTTGGCAATGTTTCCATCATCATCCGTGCCAAGCCTTCAGCGCACCATGCATTTGGTACTCGTACAACAGCCTCAATCGCAGAAAATGTCTTGGGAGTGACCCAATAGCAAAAAGACCATAGCATGTAAAAAAAGACCTGGCAAGAAGCAAAACAAAAAGAAATAGAATGACGACACCAATCGGATTTGAACCGATGCCTCCGAAGAGATGTGATAACTGGAACAAGTTCTAGTCACACGCCTTAACCGCTCGGCCATAGTGTCTACAGCTAATTGGCATGAAATTGTGCTACTGTAATATATATATTATGATATTGGAGACTAAATGTGGAACCCACTTATAGGGACTTTGGGGGCATTTGGAGAAAACTCTAGGCTGCCGCATGGTTCACCGCCACTCTCTCTTCCTCCTGACCGTTTCATCTGCACATAATTTTCTCAATGAGTACCTCGTACCGAATACGGGTATGGGCAACGCCAGTTACGCTATCTCTTATCTCTGGCGGTTTTTAGAGTTTCGTGCATGGACCAGACATCCCGAAATCGGTATTGGCCAAGGAAGCTACGTACATGTGCAGGTCTGGCTCTAACATCTAGTTTGGTATACAAGTATATTCCGCGCAGACTGATCCAAAGCATCGTCCCGAGCGTGTCAAACTCGAGACCTATACTCAAATCCTGTCGCCGTATTGTTCATCCTCCCAAAGTCATTCCCTCACTTCCTTGCAGCGATACAAGTCCGACACCTCTCACCATGGGTATTGTTTCTCGGGAGAGGTGGTGAATGTTGCATGTTGACCGTTTTTATCAGTATCGACGATTAATCGGCAAGCCTCGACTGCACCGTCTGCAGCTTTGGTGCCACGCTCGTCATAGCCGTTCAAGTTGGTGGCTCGGTGGCCAGGGCAAATCATGTTGACCTTGAATCCCTCCTTGCCTAGTTGAACGGCATACAAAGCCCCGACCATGTTCTCTGCACACTTCGAAATAATATATCCCTTGACATTAGGTGCATTGCCCAATCCGTAATAGGGGAACGAAGGGTCCAAAGTGAGGGTGATGGAACCGAGGCCAGACGACATGAAGAGGAGCCGCGGGACTTGAGCCTTTCGCATCAGGGGAATGAAGGCTTCCGTCACACAAGCGGCGCCGACGGTGTTGGTTTGAAGCGTCTGGATCATGCTTTGGCGAAAACTCACGCCCTTGACGCCGCTGATGCCTGCGTTGTTGAGCAGGACGTCAAGTCGACCGAACTTCTCCTCGACGTACTTGGCGGCTTTGGCAATGCTGTCATCGTTGTCGACATCGAGCTCCAAAGGCTCGACTGAGGTACCTTGGGCCAGATTCGTCAAGCTGCTCGCCGCTTCCTTGCCCTTTTCCAGGCTTCGCGAGCCGAGCAGGATGTGGTAGTTGGTTTGTTCAGCTGCCAGCTTCTTAACGCACTCATAGCCGATTCCTTGATTGGCGCCTGTTATAAGGACGACGGTGTGATCTGCTGTGATGGAAGACATGTTGGGGATTAGAGAATTCAATATACTTCTACCGGTTTATGCACCGAGATGTTCAACCTGCCCCGAGGAACATGGCTGCTTTTTATATACCGGATATCAGGCCTGTGCCAGAGTTCTCTCGGACTTAGCTACGTCGGAAACTGTGGGAAAGCTCCCTCTACATCAAAACTGCATTTGTAAGTCGGGACAATATCTATCCTTCACCAAGCCTTGTGACAGAAAGGTGGTCCAAGGTTTTACGGAACAGGGGAAAGATACTTGGGGTCTCGATATGCAGCTAACGCCTAGTTCGCGAGCAGACCAATCATGTCTTGCGGCCTTGAGATGCGGACTTAGTGAATATGGGTATCTATGGCCGACATCAAGCCTTCAAGCTTTTGTGGTTTGGGCCTTGTGGCAACATGGGCCTGAACTCTATCCCTCGCTCTGTTCCGCCGGTTCGACGGTCGACAGCTGCTGAACAAATCTGTTGTCGTGTCAAACCTACCATCGTTGCTGTTCGCATCCCACCCGATTGCGACTGACCAGAAGCTTCTATTCGGTATCGACCGCAATCGACCTGTTATGCATCCGAAAACCAACCATGGTTGAGGTCCTGGATCCTTCTCATTCTCAGAGCGCACCAAAGGCCAACATTCGAAGACGACGCGGCAGGGCTTGTATTACTTGCAAAATCAGGCGTGTCCGTTGCGATTACGGCCAGCCATCCTGTAATCGCTGTCTAAGCACAGGCCGCAAATGCGATGGTTACCCATCACCCCAGGGAGGAAGACAAGATCCGCCTCCCATCGGCGTCCTGCTGGTGCTCGGCGCTCCTATGCCCGCACTGTGCGAACATGAAGCCTGGACGTCATTGAGATTCTTCGTTCAAGTTTGTGCCCCGGCGATGCTGAACTACGGAAGCCACCGTTTCTGGAACGAGCTCGTGCTGCAAGCTTGCGGTATCGACCAGAGCATCAAGCATCTCACCATCGCAGCGTCCAGACTGGGGTCGCATCGACTGCGTCAGCCGTGTAAGCCACCGTTCGAACAGGATGTCGTCTTCCTCGAGCACTACGGCAGAGCGCTTAAGCTCCTCAGCCAAACCCAAAACCCGGATCCGGGATTCCTGCTCATGGCCTGCCTCCTCCTAGTCCTGTGCGACGAATACAGGGAGAATTCATTCGCGGCCATCCAGCATCTCATCGCCGGCCGCAAAATCCTTAATACTTACCGGTCGGCCGCGGCATCGTCATCGACCCAGCGCACCGGTGACAACACGGCCATCACGGAACTCGAGCAGATCTTCTCCATGCTGGAGTTACATACCAGCGAGCTCCACCAGATCGCGCGACCGCAGGCGATGACCTGGTGGTCCCCTCACTGCAAAACAGAAGCCGCTGCTGTTGCAGAGAACATTGTGCTCTACCCACAAGTCGACCCGACACAGCTCTGGGGCCGCATTGACGCCGCCACACGGGCATTGCAGGATCTGGCCTTTGAATGCACGGCGCTGCGACTCGACGGGCCTCCACCACAGACGAGGTTCCAGGTCGTGCCGGACATGACGGACAAACTCAACGCGTGGCTCGCGCAGCTGACGGCCCTTGAATTCGACCCGTCCGCCACCCACCACCACCACCTCAGCACCGAGATGCTCGCGGACCTGCACCTCCTGCGGACGTACCACCTGTGCCTGCACGTGCTGTCGCGATGCGGCCCCTTCAGACAGGAAGTGGCGTTCGATGCGTACGCCGGCACGATCGAGCACGTCGTGGTGAGCTGCGGCCTGCTGATCCGGCGGCCGCGACGGGCGCGACTCGTGCCCATCCTATTCTTCGTGGCCACGCGATACCGCAACGCCAGCTTCCGCCGCCGCGCCATCTGCATGCTCCGCCAGTGCGGCCTGGACGGCCAGATGCTGGCCCGGATCGCCGTGCGCGTCGTCCGCATCGAGGAGAACGGCCTCGCCTCTCTGATAGTGGGCTCCGATGTGCCCGAGCAACACCGCATCAGGCTCCGCGACATCGTCTTTGACCGCGCTGGCATCGGCGCCTATCTTCTCCGCTTCACCCGCCATCCTTACTATGCCACCTGCAACGTTGATAACAAGGACAGTCCCGCCGACACCGTCCCCTTGGAACATACCGCCCTTGCCAGCCAGGCGTGCGTCTGGACCACCCCGCCCCCAACGTCTGCACATGCGGTGAGTTGGTATCCTCTTTCAGCCACCCGCACCTTGTCCTCTTCCTACCTCCCTCCCTCACTACTTACCTACCTACCTGCCTGCCTGACTAACTGACGCTACTTTCCAGACCACACTCCTCGAAGCCGCTCTCCGATTCGACTTTATGGCGTTTTGGAACCAAGAGGACCCAGAATCCGCCGCCTAGTTGCCTAATTTGCTACAGTGCCATCATAGCATATCATAGCATAGCATAGCATAGCCCTTGCCAGCCACTGCCAGCCAGGCTAGCCTATAGTAGTTAGCTTTGATGGGGATGGGTATTTCCCTTCCTCTCTTTTCAATAAGAAATTGATACATTGATATATTGAAAGAGATAAAGAGATGTCGAGATATATCCACATTAGCGTTTTACATACATTACCCCCTTTCCATCCCCTCTCCTCCTCTTTCTGCCCGTGGCCACGCCCAGTAAAGAAAGACCAAAAAAAACTACCTAGGTAGGTACACGCATGCATGTCTACATGTGTCAAGTATTCGGATTCGGATTTCCCTTTTCCTAGTCATTTCCACGAGAGAGGAGAACAAGAAGAAAAAACCAAGTGGAGTTTCTACAATCTACCTCCCGCATTGTCTCTCTCCCTCCACGTCTTTTACCCTTACTCTCTTTGAACACAGAGAGGCAGAGACGCAGAAATCCAAAAAAAAAACCTATGCACCGCCACTCATCTCAAGCTTCTTCCCCTTGACGCTCTTCCATTCAAAGCCCAGCGAGAATAAAAAGGCGATGCTCGCACAGGCAATGGACAGAATGTACGAGTGCGTGACAGCGACGTTGTACGCGTACAGCACACCAGCAAGCTGGGACGGCGGCGTGACCTGGCGGATATGGGTGGCGCCGGCCATGATGATGGCTTGCGGGTCGACGCCATGGGTGTACTTGGGTATTTCCTGGATGAGGGTGTTGGAGAAAATGTTCTGCGCGATGGAGATGGAGATGGCGCCGCCGAGCGAGTTGAAGAAGATGGCCACGGCGTTGCCCACAGGCATGTCCTTTTTGTTCAGCACCACCTGCACCGCGATAAAAGGGATCTGGACGCACGCGCCGGCGCCCGTCCCAGCCAGGATCTGGTACCCAATCCACGTCCCCGTCGATGAGTCTACCTTCAAATTGTATAGCATGCCACTCCCAATGGCGAAGATGGCCGAGCCGAACCACGTAAATGGCACATACGGCCCCAGCGTCGTGATGCTGGCCCCGACCACGATCGATGAGATGGTGATGCTGACCAGGTATGGAATCGTGCGAATCCCGGATTGCTCGGCCGTCGTGCCCTTGACGGCCTGGAAGTAGAAAGGGAGGAAGTAGACGTGCGTATACAGGCCCATGGCGAGGAAGGCAGAGAAGAACGCACACACGAACACGGTGCGTTGCCTAAGCATGATCCGTGGTGGGAGCGTTGCCAAATCCCCCTTCCACAGTTGGATGCCCGTGAAGACCAGAATCAACAGCCCAAACCCCAGGATGCAGCCCCAGACTTTCGAGTTGGACCACGCGTAGGTGGTGCCGCCCCATTGCAGGGCCAGCAGGAGGCAGACGATGGCACAGATCAGGAAGAACGCACCTAGGAGGTCGAGCTGGCCGATCTTCTCCTTCATGGTGAGGTTGCTGTGCTTGCGCTCGGGGTTCTTGAAGAAGAAAAACACGGCCGTGATGGCGATCGCCCCGATGGGGAGGTTGATGTAAAAGCACCAGCGCCACGACACGCCTGTTGTAGACCGGGGTCAGTGGACCAATCTCCCCTCGGTAGTGATTCAATCGGGGCACTTACGGTCGGTAAACGCTCCTCCTAGAATAGGCCCAACGACGGATGCAATCCCAAACATGGAGCTCAACAGCCCAATGTAGATGGGCCTCTTCCGCAAGGGCACCGAATACGCTACAATGGTCATGCCGCCAGAGAAAATCGCTGCAGCACCAACCCCGGCAATAGCACGGCCCACAATCAGCATAGTAGAGTTCGTTGCTGCGCCGCACAGCACCGAGCCAACTTCGAAGATGAAGAGCGCCACCATGTATGTCCATTTCACGTTGAAGTAGGTGTATATCTTCCCGAAAGACGGTTGCAGCGAGGTCGTTGTGAGCAGATACGAGGAGCCATACCAGCCGACATCATCTAGGGAGTTGAAAACTGTGGTTATCCTGGGAATGGCGGTTGCGATGATGGTGTTGTCCAGGGCAATGACAAAGGTTGATAGAGTGAGGCCGAACGTCAAGAGGTGCAATGGCAAACCCCTAGCGTATTTGGATTCATCATCTTCGCCGGGTTCGCCTGCATCGGAAGTTGCTGTTGAGTCTCTGCGGGATAAATCTTCGTTTACTTGTAGCACAGCCTTCTCATTAGAGGATGCTGAAATGGGGATATCTTGTTCTGGCGTGGTGGCCGATGGTTTCTCGACTGAACTAGGCTCCCCAACACTCGAATCAGCTGGGACGGGTCTCTTCTCGGGGTCAACAGTTTCTGCTGAGACTGGCTGTCCCGATGAAGGGCTCAGCTGGCTCTCTTGGACCCCCGAATCTGACGGTTTGTCCGCCACTCCGGCTTTCGACCAAGGAAATCTCATTTCGCGGTGGGACGAGAGGTTGAAGGGTGTGATTGACAAAGAAGTATTCGCTCAGTAACACGGCACAGCCCACTCCCAAATACGCTTCGGCTGAACAATAGCAAACGAATACAAAAGAAAAGACCAAGAATTTGAGATCAGATGAAACGAAGCAAAAACGTATGACAAACCTGGGAAATCATCACGAAGATTCAAGAGCTTCCCTCGGAAGGACGACAGCCCGGTTCAAAGAAGGTACCACCAGAAAGTGACTTCGGCAATAAGATGAATCGAAGTGTGGGCAAGTCAAGCTTCGACGCTTTTCGATGGGCCGTCAAAGCCAACCAACCCAGTGGTAGGGTGTGATCTTGACAGGCGAAGGAAACGACCGCCGAGTCAAGCCAACGAGGAAAGCTCGCTTGCGATGCGACGAAGAGTGATTGTCACTACGGACCAGTACCCGTTCCCAAGATTCGTAAACCATGCCAGTCCTGGGATAGAGTTGTGGGATGAGGGAGGAGGTGGAAGAGGCGGTGGCGAAGGACACTGGGACAGAGCGTCTAAGCGAAGCCGAGGTCAAGGCGCACGGTAATTACGCTCCATGCTATAGTCAGATCGGGTAAAGCACACGATGGCGCCGAGTCGTATTTCGTACAAACAGTACCGAGCATGGCGCCATCAGGACGACGGCGGTGAGAGCGATCTCGGTCTCGGAGGAGGGGATGTTGGGAAGAGTTAAATTGGACCTCGACTTGTTTGGAGATGAAGGGTGGTCGATCTGTACCATTGGGTGAGAAAGGGGAATCGTCGAGTGAGGCGCGACAAGATGTACGAGTAAGTGAGGAAGACACCATGGGGAATTGGTGCGAGAAAAGGGGAAGGTGAACCGAGTATGTCGCTACTTTTGCTTCCTTCCACCTTCATTCCTTCACTTCACTTCACTCACTTCACTCACTCAATACCCACTTCTCTCTTCTTCACGATCCTCAGAATTTTATTCATGTTATATTTTACAGTCCCACAATTTCCACCAACTTTCCGAATCGGTTTCATGCCCTTCGAATGTGGTGGTAACACCGGCCGAGTCCCATCCAGACCTCCTAATGATTATTCTCTTCATCTCCAAGGTAAAGCGCTTTACCACAGGAGATGTATGAAGTATGATGGAGAGAAAGATGTGACTTGGACCGAGAGACTACTCGACCATACTTCTCTACTACTACCACTACCACTTGATATTTATGACAAGGCCTATCTCAATGACAATGCCAGTATCACTGACAGTACCAATATCAATTAGAATACTACTTCTTCTCACACCAATATCATTGGTAACATAGAATCTCTTCTGTGGTCGTGGCCTTGTGTTACAACCTGTTAGCGTTTCTCCCTGTTCGAGCCCTGATCAAGTTCGAATGGGACCTTCTTTTTTTTTCCTTTTTGCTGCGTGTGAAGCTGTTTCACTGAGATTTTCGTTGTGCGCCTGGCTGGAAAGGGAAGGTAAACCAATTACTTGTTCTATTGCTTCCTCTCTCATAGTCCTCTCTGTCGCGTATGTTGCTGATGGTGTAATATCTTCTCTGTCTATTTGTTTCGTCCTCGATTTCCTGGTGGTTCATTACTTCTCGAGACTGCAGCCACCCGAGCCTGCGGATGAAGTCGATGTCTATTTGCCCCCATGCAGGACACGTCCATGCACGCCCGGTAACCACTGGTAATGTCCTCCAGCGATGGAGTACTCTGGCAAGACTTCGAGTGGGTGTTGTTGTGACCTCAATCCCAATGGTACCTTGGTCGTAACAGACCACCCACCTGGACAATACCAATACCCATTGATGCGGCCTCGAGGATGATGAAAGACACTTAACATAACACTGGCCGAGAACCTTTTTCCCATCTCATAAAGACCTCGTGAACTATTATACAACGCGTTTGACCTGTGACGCAGACAACCGTCAGCCATGGTTCCAACTTTTTGTCTTCTTTGGTCCAGCCAGATGCAATTTCAAAATCAGACAGTCACCCCACTCCAGCACACATAACCAAGGCGCAAAGACACCATATGGGATCATGGAAGGGGTCGGCTATTCACCTCGAAGAACCGCTTCAACCACCAGACCTGGAACACTCCTTCTCCTATCAACACGCCCAGTTGGAATATCGACCACCATTTGACCCTTGAGTTTGTGCTTTCGGCTGTGTTTCGGTGCGTTCGCTCACGGACGACAATGTAGGCTTGCTCGTCCTTGACTTGGGCGAGGAGATCGGAGAGTTGGCGGACTAGATGCGCCGCATATTCTGTCAGTCTCCTTGCGGCTTTTGTTTCTAGTGGTCCAGAATGGGGAACAAAATACGAACCTTCCGTTTCCAGCGGGTCCTGGGGCGCCTCGGACTCGGGGACGTAGACAATGCCGTGGACGTTGAAAGAGACTTCCTTGCTGTTGGCGGACCAATGCTCGTTGCTGAAGCAGTAGACGTATTTCCCATCCATGCGTGCATCGAACGAGTAGTCGCCCGAGGACACCGAGTTGAGCTGGGTTTCATAAGACCCCGAAGGATCGGTGATCTAGACATCACAAACCGCCCTAATGGTCAGTCAAGGAAAAAGGTCTTCGATACCAAAGAGATGGGCCAGGTGGGATTTTTTTGGTGGGATTTTTTTTTTGGCATACGTAGAAATCAATGTCCAGGTTCCCAGCACCTCCGAATTCACGGTCGCCCACTTGAAAGGTCACCGTCATCTTGTCGTCCTTGTGTAGTTCTTCATGGAAACATTCTCTTGTGTGTGCTTTCAGAGCGATGTTGTGTGCCACGCCTGCCCCTATCCAACCCGCGAACGCGGCGCAGGCCGCTGCTCTGCCAAATCGCATGCTTCCGGAGTTTATCAAACTGGATAAACACTCTGGGGTTGGATTGAGAGACGGGAATTCAAGCGGTGTCTGGAGGAGGTGTTGACGGCAGGATCGAGCAGAGGATGATTGAGATGGACCGCAGCCAAATAAAAGTGTCCTCAAGCGACTTGGGCTTTCAACTCCGCAGTTTTTGTCCCTGACTTCCAGGGGGTTTAGCGCTGGCCAATGGGGGCTGTGCTTGGCATAACGTCGAGAGAATACCAACTGAGACGCCACGGGGGAGCCTCACTAACGTTCGAACCCACTAAGGTTGCTTGGCTCCGACTACGAATATTGCACACACAGGACGGCCTGAGTCTCATGATTGCCGATGATGATCGACGCCGAGCAACATTGTCGGGCACAATCACTGAAACTCTTCTAACAGGTAACGGAAATCTGGGGTAGGAGGGTGAGGGGTGAATGTGGCTTGCTATTCTGGCTTTCACTAATCCCGAGCCCCTTCCATCTCTGTACTTGGTACTCAGTACGAAGTGCCGAGCACATCCTCCCACTTGTAGGTACTATCCCTGGGTCAGACAATCCTCATTAATTACCCGACACATACCGAGCACGAGGATCCCGTGACCTCGTGCTCAGGACACACATCTCTGACGCCTAGCCTACCGACATCTACAGTATCACCAGCGTCACCTCAACAGTGTTTGCCGGATAGCCTGAGTGTGACTCGCTTGCATTACCACCACACTACACCACACCACACCACGCAGCCTAGAAATTCCTTGATTAGGCAATTTTCTTTTCGGTTGGGTCTTTGTTCTTACATTACTTCACTACCTTGGTACATGGCATGTCAAGTCATTTTCGGCGCCGCCGGGTTTCACGTCCCACCTCCTCAATCTATCTACACTGTTCAGTTCGGACGACGGACGAGCACAAGGGAGAAACAAAGAAGGAAGAAAGCGTGAGTAGAGGGCAAAAAGAAAAAAAAGAGAAAGTACACATGACCATGACCATGACCATGACCATCACTCTGCACCATGGGCTGTAGGGTCGATGATCGCATGGGGGAAATTGGAGAGCCAGCTAACACAGATTGATTTGAGTATGTATACCTGGCCAACTAACCTACCATACTCGGACCAAGTAAAGAAGTGTTGTACAACCAATAACAATTGGCAATTCTACAATGATCTTCGTGCTCGTGCTTCGTGCTCGCGCTCGCGCTCGCGCTTGTCACTGACATCCATCCATCCTTGTCCTTCCCTGTCCTTGCGTCTATCGGCTCAAAAGTAAGGACGCAAGCCCGCAAAGACACAGGGATCCAAGGCCACAATGGAACACAAGACCACCACACACACGCTCAAACCACCGTGCCACCGTACCCCCGCTCTGACAATGACACGACCAGCATGACATACCTACAGTACATATTGGGGGTGGGTGGGTGACTGTGGACCATTTCTCCGAGGGAATGAATGGCACGGAGGGAAGAATAATGGGGAAAAAGAGAGAAGGGGAAGGCAAGGGAAGGGAAGATCCTCCCTCCCTCGCTCGACGACGATCTCTCGTAATTATTTTCCTTGATTTTCTAGTGCCAGGGTCAGGGCCTCCAGAACCACCATGGGCCAGGGGCAGCCCTCAGTGCCTCGTCATATGTACTTGTCTCGTTACTTTTACTTCTGGGGGACGCACGGGGCGCCAAAGTCTGGACCGCTCTCGCTAGATATCGGTTAGGAAATGGGAAGGACCCTCTTTTATTTTCTTTTTCTTCTCTTTGTACTGAGTACGTACGAGTAATGTCTTTGGGGAAGACGGTGGACTGGACACTCAGCCCGGATATGGTGGTATGGTAGTAAGGTGGACAGTGGTACATCCAGAGGTACCTCGTAGGGAGTGTATGTACTCGGTACATTATGAGTACTCTGAATCTGCGGCCAAGACGATCCCCCCGCCTGGAGAATGGCCACTTATGGCCCAAACATTGGCATTTCACCGAGTAACTCCCATGGCGAAATTGACGAGTTAAGTGAATAACTTGTACCGAGTAGGAAGCGACTGAACTTGAATTCCTGGCCAAGGGACGAGGATACGGGGGAGTAGAGAACAGAAGAGAAGGAGACTGCTGGTCTTGGTCTCGAATGAATCTGCACAGCCTCACAGCACGCTAGTTAGGTACCCTGAGTGCCTGAGTACATGGTACATGCAGCGACATGCAACCTGCGCCCACTAAGTTGTACGTACCTACAGTACCTTGTGCTCCGCAGACGAGACGAAGCAAACAGCAAACAGCAAGCAGCAAACAACAGCAAACCAGGGGCCGTGCACTTCTCCGATTCGTTCTGCGCTTCGGCAAAAGATGCAGGACGTGCACGACGATGTTGTTTGTTACTGCAAGCTGCGAGGGGCTTTCGAGTTAGAAGCTGTGGATTGTTTGGTCGGTTCGGTTGTTTCCAGGTATGCAGGTCGCAGGTCGCAGGCAGGTTGCAGATGACAGGGAAGTTTTACCGCGAATGTCGTACCATGAAGACAACTCGGGACATCAGGACGAAAGAGCGATCAGTGATCTACATACATACCCTCGGTACCTCCTGTACCTAGTGCCCATTACCTAGCACCTACTTAGTCTCTCGTCGCAGGTGGTGAGGCCCTGGGTGGCAGGTGGATAGATAGATGGTCGCTAATCCAAGGGCTACCAGGCTAGGCCAGGCCAACCCCCGACGAGTACCGAGTACCTCTTACCTAGTATCGACCCCAAAGCCATTCGATCATTCCCATTGGAATTTATTGGGGAGACAAGGGAGACAAGTTCAGTTGCACAGCATGACACCATAGGTAGCGTGACTGAGTCTTCTCGGACTTGCAGAGCCTGGTCAGTGTTGATCAGTGTAGGCGTCAGTCTGCATCTTGTCAGTGGTACCTCGAGCATCCCTGTTACTCCTTGTCACTCCCCCTCTAGGTACTCCCTTGGTATTCCTTGTACTCTTTGTTAGACTCGCTAGACTCGTTTACCTCCAACACGACTCCACTTTTTGCAACCAATTCTCTCCGCCACAAGGGAAAAAAAAGAGTTTGGCTCAAGCTCCCCTTGATCCTTGATGGATGGATGAATGGAAAAGCAAAAAAGGTGGATGCGGCGGCGGCAGTGGCGGCGACGGCGGGGGCCGAGCCATGGATGATGATAATGCAAGGTCGCTTTGCATCTTTCACACTCTCTCTTACTCACACACACATGCTAATTCACATTTCACAGTTTCACAGTCTCACCTTTCCTCTCTCTCATTGTCCTCGTTTTCCCACGTATCAGTCGCACCAGGAACCGTGACTGTGAATGGCCTTGTCAGCATCACTACAACCAATGGAAACCGTCAGATCCGGAGATGAGCGACAAAATGGATGTTTGCTTTGAGGGTGGAGGTGGACTTGTGGGAACAAATGGATGGGCACCTGGGATAACGGATATTCTTCCACGCCCTCCTCTTCCCTCGTCCTATCTACCTATCTACTCCTACTAGTTCACCGCTGGAGCAAGCAGAAACAAAGACGAGGGAGAGACCGGGGATGGATGAGCCCAGCAGGCTGGAACCTTTTGGAAATATACGGAGAGTTGGTGCGAGTCCCCCCCACATGACAAACCGTGCCATACCATACCATAATATGCATCGTCGCACTCACACTCGCCCTTGTACCTGTCCTACCAGGTCCTCGTCACGCTGCTCGTGTAACTACGGGTTCCTCATCCTCGTACTACTTTAGGACAAGGAACTAAATCTCTAACAAACAACACCACGAGGTCCGGGTCCGCTAATAGCAATCAACACCACAAGTGTGGGTTCCTGGTCTAGCACATCTAGCTATAGTGTAGTCCAAATGACATTGATCCCGCCAGAGTGGTTGGCCGGTTGGCTCGGGGCCTTGGTACTGCATGGTCTGGTAGCTATCGAGGATCTAGTCTACTCGCAGAGGTCTGGGTCTGGGTCTGGGGGTTGAGGGTAAATGGAGCGAAGGGAAGCTCTGTTAAAATGTAACTAGGTACTACCTGAGTTTTGGGGGAGCTTGTCTTTCTTGCCCTTTTCTCGCCCTCTCTCTCTTCTCCCTGAGTTTCACTTGCGGAACATACTTTGGCCCGAAGTTACAATGACGAATAAATAAAGTTGATACAAACATCATGGGTGGTTGTTATATCGGTTGAAAAGGAAGCCAGAACCGCAACGAAATCTCTTCCCACCACTTTTCACCAACACCACCAACACCTCCTCTTCCACACCCTTTTCCTCTCTCAATGGACTCCTAATCAGTTTCATGCCTACTCCTCTCATCCACCGAATACCTCCTAACACACTGCACCCCGTCGAAATGGTCGCCGAACTACACCAACCACCTTACCCTCTTCACCCCAGCGTCAAGGACAGACTGCACCCCGAATACGTCGCCTTCTACAACAAATACATCCTAAATGCACAACAGGTCCACCACCTCCCCATCTCGGTGGCTCGAGGATCTCGGACCGTACCTCCCAGCCACAGCAAGCCCCTCCCCGTGGGCAGAGTGCAGGACGTTTCCATATCGCGACAGGAGACCCCTGGGCCCGACGTCCTCATCAGGTGCTTCACCCCACCAGGGAAAGCCCCTCGATCGGGCTGGCCACTGGTGCTATATTACCATGGCGGAGGGTGGGTATTCGGGGATATCGACACCGAAAACACCGTGTGCACCAACATTTGTGTCCGAGCTCGGGCGGTGGTCATCACCACTGACTATAGGTTAGAACCCACCCATCATTTCCCGTGAATTGGGCTCCTTGTCCTTCGCAAGGGTTGAAGGGGGGAAAAGCGACAGAAATTAACCCCAAAAGAAATACGCCCATTTCATTTGGTGAGCATTTCCAATGCTAGGGATCTCTGTCTGACTTCGCCTCTTTGATTCCTTTTGGAGGGAAACAGGCTCGCCCCCGAGGAACCCTGGCCGGCAGCTATTCATGACTCATGGGAGGCCTTTCTTTGGTCGACATCGCAGGG